GCCTGTAATCCCAACTACTTGGGAGGCTGAAGCACTAGAATCGCTTGAACCTGGAAGATGGAGGTTGTAGTGAGCTGAGATCTTGCCACCACATGCCAGCTTGGATGACAGAGTGAGACTCCGTCTCAAAAAACCCCCCAAAATTAGCTGGGCATGGTGACCACCCTTGTAGTCCCAGCTATTCAGGGGGCTGAGGTGGGAGTATTGCTTCAGCTCTTAAGATCAAGACTGTAGTGAGCTATGACCACACCATTGCACTCTAGCCTGGGTGACAGAGGGAGACCTTGTCTCTGAAAAACAAAAGAAAGCAAAAAAACCCTAAAATTATTCTCATGTGATTCAACCATTCAACAGACATTTTAGTTGGGTACCTAGCATTATGCCCGAAACTGTTCTTGATCACAAACATTCAAAGATAAATAGACTTGGTGAGGGCACAAGGAGTAACTGGTACCCGTGTAGACTTGGCGAGGGCGCAGGGAGTAACTGGTACCGGCACAGACTTGGTGAGGGTGCAGGGAGTGACCAGTACCCGCACAGACTCAGGGAGGGCACAGGGAGTAACAGGTACCTGCACAGACTCAGGGAGGGCACAGGGAGTAACTAGCACCCACATACCATGCCGTTCCAGCTGCTAGGACCACTGCAGCGTGCAAAACGTGCTCAGGATGAGGCCGGGGAGGGGACTGGAAAGGATCGGCTGTGCTCATGAAAGTGACAAACTGTCATTTACTTTTGTGACGACTAATTTTGTCTGACAACATGGCTAGGCCACAGTCCCCAGAAATGTGGCCAAATATGTCCGGATGTTACTAGGGAGATACTTGGTTTAGAAGAGATAAACTTTTCAACCAGTTGACTTTGCTTTTTTTTTTCTTTACTTTTTTTTTTTTTTTGAGATGGTGTCTCACTCTGTTGTCCAAGCTGGAGTGCGGGGACGCAACCTCGGCCCACTGCAACCTCCATATCCCGGCTTTAAGTGATTCTTCTGCCTCAGCCTCTGGAGTAGCTGGGATTATAGGCATGCACCACCACACCCAGTTAATTTTTTGTATTTTTAGTAGAGATGGGGTTTCACCACATTGGCTAGGCTGGTCTCAAACTCTTGACCTCACGTGATCTGCCTGCCTTGGCCTCCCAAAGTGCTGGTATTACAGGCATGAGCCACAGTGCCCAGCCCAATCAGTTGACTTTGAGTGAAGCAGATCACTCTCCACAGTGAGGGAGGGCCTCATCTCATCAGTTGAGATGAGGCCTCCTGGAAGCCCAGTGTACCTGCCAGCCTACCTTGCAATTTTGGACTTGCCAGCCTTCCCAATTGTGTGAGCCAATTCCTTAAAATCAATCTCTCTCCCCAAATACATATATATATATATATATATCTCCTATTGGCTCTGTTTCTTTAGAGAATCCTAATACACTCATTATAACAACAGTGGGTACTATTATAATTGCCATTTCACAGTGGAAGAAACTAGACCAGAAAGGTTAAGGAACTTGGCCAGGGCCACAGAGTCAGTGGGTGGCAGAGCTGGCATTCCACACCACCGTGTCCCCCAGATTCCCTGCTCTCACCCACACTCTCCACTGCTTCTCAGTGCATTGACCTGGGTGTGCTTGAGCGCCCCCTGGGAGGGCTAATGGGGACAGGCAGAATATACAAGGGGGTGTATATTCATCTCTCTTACAAATGCAAATAGAGGTAAGTAATTTGCCCAAAGTGGGACTCACAGTTTTATAAGCAGCAGAACCCAGGTTTTCAGGAAACAAAACACAAGCTCTTTCCATTCTCTTGTCCACTTTCTCTGTGTTTTTCTTTATCCATTTTCTTCCTCCCTTTAGAATTCTGACATTCTTCAGAGACTCTTAGTCACACATTCCTCAGCCTACTCCCTCCTGGAGGCCCAGTGTACCTCAGGTTCCCACCATGATCTTGATGCCCCCCAAATTATCAGGCTCGCAGAGAACACACACCATCAATAAAGGGCCCATCTCATTTGGTGCAGGATATGTGAACAGACAGCGTCACGATCCACTTAACAATGTCAAGTTTACTATGGCTGGTAAAATCAATGCATTTCACACAAATAGTTACAGAGTCTCTATTAATTATTTGGAAAGTAAAACTAAGACCGAACAAAAATCCCCTCCAAAAGCCCAAAAGACGTTTCTTTTCAAATATAATTCCTAGAACTCTGTTTTAACTGATTCAAGGAATTAGGTATCTTCGAAAATACACAGACATCAAAAATCTCCCAATTATCTTCATGCATGGTCTAACAGTTTTCAGTTCTGAACTGGGTTACTTGAAAACTGATATTTTCTTTTTTTGAGACAGAGTCTTGCTCTGTCACCCAGGCTGGAGTGCAGTGATGCGATCTCGGCTCACTGCGACCTCTGCCTCCCAGGTTCAAGGGATCCTCTACCTCAGCCTCCAAAGTAGCTGGGACTATGGGCACGCACCACCACACCTGGCTAATTTTTTTGTATTTTTAGTAAAGATGGGGTCTCACCATGTTGGCCAGGCTGGTCTCAAACTCCTGACCTCAAGTGATCTGCCTGCCTCACCTCCCAAAGTGCTGGGATTACAGGTGTGAGCCACCGTGCCCGGCAGAAAATTGATATTTTCAAGCTTGACTTTCAGGGCACTAGGAAGCAAAGGGAGATAAGAGCCCCCATGCTGCCAAGACCCTCAGCCCACGCACATGCTCCTGGGCTGGTATCATGAGTGGAAACCAATACAACTCTCTGGAGGGAAATCTGGAAATACGTTTTAAGTTTTAGAATTTTGTACATTTTGTAACTCAGCAATTCTTCTAAAAAGTCATCCTAAGGAAATAATCAAAGCTGTGCATGAAGATTTAGCTACAAAGATATTTTCTACAACACTGGTTAGAATAACAACTTTTTTTTCTTTTTTTCTTTTAGATGGAGTTTTGGTCTTGTTGCCCAGGCTGGAGTGCAATGGCACGATCTCGGCTCACCGCAACCTCTGCCTCCCGGGTTCAAGCGATTTTCCTGCCTCAGCCTCCCAAGTAGCTGAGACTACAGGCGTGAGCCACCATGCCCGGCTAATTTTTGTATTTTTAGTAGAGATGGGGTTTCACCATCTTGGCCAGGCTGGTCTCGAACTCCTGACCTCATGATCCACCCGCGTTGGCCTCCCGAAGTGCTGGGATTACAGGCGTGAGCCACCACGCCCGGCCAATAACATTTTTTGTAATTGCAGGGGATTGATGAACCAAAGTGAAGTATGATATATCCACAGGATGGAATACTACGGACTTACGAAAATTGATATGGCAGAATAATGATGCTATGGAAAGATGTTCATTCTGTACAACTGTATTTTTATGTATATATTATTGAGTGAGTGAGTGAGTGAGTGGTCTCACTCTGTTGCCGAGGAGGTGCAGCGGCCTGATCATAGCATCACGACTCACTGTGACTTTGAATTCCTGGGCTCAGGCAATCCTCCTGCCTCAGCCTCCCAAAGTGTTGGAATTTCAGGTGGGAGCCACTGCACCCAAACAGTACCCAGCACACAATCTCATTTCTGCTAAATATGCTTTGTAGAAGGCAACCTCTCAGACAGCCAGCCCCAAGTGACCCCTACCTCCTGGTATTCACCCGCCTGTATAGTCTCCTCTCAGTGCTGGTCTATACCAGTGTGGGTCTGTGTGACCAACAGCCTATGGAAAGAAGTGATGGTATGCTGCTTTTGAGATTAGGTTACAAAAGACTATGACCTCATTCTGGGCACTTGGCCTTTTAAATTACTATATCTGTATGTATGTATGTATGCATTATGTATTTATGTACATATGTATTTATTTATTTTTGAGACAGAGTCTTGCTCTGTAACTCAGGCTGGAGTGAAGTGGTGCAATCTTGGCTCACTGCAGCCTCCGCCTCCTGGGTTCAATTGATTCTTGTGCCTCAGCCTCCTGAGAAGCTGGGATTACAGATACCCGCTGCCACACCTGGCTCCGCAGCATTTTGTATTTTTAGTAGAGATGGGGTTTTGCCATGTTGGCCAGGCTGGTCTTAGACTCCTGGCCTCAAGTGATCCACCCGCCTCAGTCTCCCAAAGTGCTAGGATTACAGGTGTGAGCCACCACACCCGGCCTACTATATCATTTTTATTTACTCTTGGATCATTTGCTCAGGGGAAAGCAAACTGCCGTGTAGTAAGCAGCTCTATGGAGGGGCTCGCGTGGTAAGGAGGTAAGGCCTCTGGTCAACAGCCAGCAAGGAAGTGAGGCCTGCCTTCAGCTGTGTGAGTCACACTCACTAGTCCCAGCTGAACCTTGCTGGAGATGACCACAGGCTTAAGTCACAGCTTGATAGCCGCCTTGTAAGAGCCTCTTAGCCCTACCACCCAGCTCAGCAGTACCTGGATTCCTGACCCCCAGAAACTCTGAGGTACTGGAGCTCACTGTTGTTTTAAGTGGCTAACTTTTAGGGTGGTGTGTGACACAGCAGTTGATAACTAATACCTACGTGCACTGTGAAAGCCCTAGAAGGACAGAATTCAAGGTATATTAGTGGTTTTCTCTAGGTGGTAAGACTTATGGGTACTTTTTATTTTCTTTGTTTTGTACAGTTTTGGCAAATGTTTGTCCTTTTTCAGAAACCAGGAAAAAAAAAAAAAAACCACACATGACCAAGAGCAACCATATGACCTTCTGATGAATAAAAGGATGAAGATTAGGAGAGCCAGTTTTAGCTCTAATAACGTTTACAGATTCTTTACGAGTAAATTAGGTTAAATGTGCAAAACAAAAACAAATAAGAAAACAAACAAAAAATTAGTTCCCGAGAGAGGGCCTGAACGGCACGGGAAGGGTGCTGTCCCTACGAGAAACCACACAATGCAATGTGAGCAGCAGCATTCACTGACTTCAAGGAAAGGAGACTTCCATGGGCTTCTTAGAAGGAAAACCAAACAGTAACGAAGCCATCTGGTAGCCGATCGTCGGCACAGAACTCTTGCTTACCCAGCTTCTGGTCAAACCGCCACGCCGCGACATAGGCATTGTGCCTCAGGCTGCTCTGCGTGGCCAGGGGCACAGTGACATAGATGGGACCATCCACCAGCACCGGCGTTCCATTACTGCTCAGCAAGTGGACACTGACGGCTGTGACTGGGGTCAGGTCATGCCTGGTGCTGTTTCCTAGAAGGAAGAGGCATTTTCCATCATTTGCATGCAAAGTACCCACGTGGGCTGTGGAAACCTTTGTAAAAAAAATAGTCGCAGCTACCATTTACCGAGTACAGCACCACCTATGTGCCAGGGACCGCATTAAGCACTTTACATACATAATCCTCACCACAACCCAGTTAGGCAGGTAAAATCATCACTTTACACATAAAGAAACAGGCTCAGACAGAGTAGTAATGGTAGGTGGCCTAAGGACATACACTCAGTAGGGACTGAGCTGGAATCTAGGCTCAGGTTTGTTTTTTTTGTTTTGTTTTTCGAGATGAAGTCTTGTTCTTTTGCCCAGGCTGGAGTGTAATGGCACAATCTCAACTCACTGTAACCTCCACCTCCTGTTCAAGTGATCCTCCTGCCTCAGCCTCCCAAGTAGCTGGGATTACAGGCGTCTGCCACCCTGACGGATAATTTTTGTATTTTTAGTAAAGATGGGGCTTTGCCATATTGACCAGGCTGGTCTTGAACTCCTGACCTCAGGTGATCCGCCCACCTTGGCAATCACAGGCCTGTAATGGGATTACAGACTCGACCCACTGTGCCTGGCCAGGTTTGCTATTTTTCATTACTGTGTTTTGCTTTCAAAAATGATCTCAAAAGACAAGGTTTTTTCTATAACGTGAGACAAAGGTGTAGGTGGAAATCGCTGGAAGTAACTTTTACACAAAGTGAGCCCCAGGCACATGTTAATTACTTGGCAGATAACCTCAATAAAACCAAATGTTTTAGAGTAGAGGCTGCTTTTTATTAATATAGCAAATTTCTTCAAAGATTGCTTCAAAAATACTAACTTCTGCTAAAAAGTATGATACTGAGGACTGGACTTGAAATATTTATGAGTTATTTTAGTTGCCATTGTTATTTTGGTCTGTTTAAAAGGACCTCAATACACCAATTATTCTCCATTAAAGGTCTTTGGTCCAGGCCAAAGCATTAATGACTGCCTACAGATAAATGAGAGAATGCTTATGAGACCGATATATTTATGCACTCAAGCAATCCATTTTACATTTTCCTCTAGTGAAATACAATATCCCACAAAATACGTTCTGTCATAATTTTACATCTTTCTTTGAGCAGAATAACAAAAACACAGTGATAAAAAACTTAAGCTGCATTAGAATACAATCTATAGGATAATTTTTATTCAGTTACTTATATACTTACCTATCTACCAACCTGAGCTAATGTAAACCTCCAATCTGGTCTACATTTAAACATTTAAAGCAAACCTAGTGAATTTAAGAGTCTCAGCAACAAATTACAGCTAAATCCTTCATACAGCAATTTCTACACAGCTAATGCCACTCTACCTTTTATCATTCATACCCATCTCTGTTTTTTAATGAAGGCAAAGGTGTGGGAATGGAGATTTCATGGAAAGATCCAAGTTGGAATCTGAGATCCAAGTTTTGAAATCTTTTAGTCTGGTTATGTCATTTTACGGTAAAAAAACAAGCAACAAAACTCAGAATTTACCATGTTTGTGGTCCAAAGATTTTGTGTCTTGAAACATAAATGTGCCAGCGGCTCAAAGTTGATACAGAAGCAAAGCCAGGTCTACAATTTACCGCTCTAGGTTCTGTTAGACCCTCTCGAGAAGATGGAACTTACAACTACAGAAATGCTGGCCAGGCGCGGTGGCGCATGCCTGTAATCCTGGCACTTTGGCAGGCCGAGGCGGGTTGCTTGAGCCCAGGAGTTCAAGAACAGCTTGGGCAACATAGTGAAACCCCGTTTCTACAAAAAAATACAAAAAATTAGCTGGGCATGGTGGTGCATGCCTACAGTTCCAGCTACTGAGGAGGCTGAAGTGCGAGGATCACTTGAGCCTGGGAAGTGAAGGCTGCAGTGAGCTATGATCACACCACTGCAATCCAGCCTGGGTGACACAGTGAGACCCTGTCTCAAAACAAAACCAAACCACACACACAAAAAAAGAAACTACAGAGACATTAAATAGCTTACTAGACAGTATAAACACCTGAGAGAAAATGTTTTCCATCAGGGAGTGCTGTTTTCTTTCATCAAACTCTAGGCAGGATGTCCCAGTAGGCAGGTAGCAGGTAGGTAGAGGAGAAAAGCCCTAGAAATGGTGTCACCCTTCTCCTCCCTCATCACCTTTCAACTCTCCCTTCCTGCACATTCCCAGTCCAGGAAGAAGGAGTCCCAGTACCAGATCTGCCACTCACTGCCTATGTCACCTCCAAAAGTGACTTCGTTCCTCTGGGGTCTGTTTTTCTTACCTTCAGAACTAAGGAGGGTAGACTAGATGCCTTCCTGCATCTATGGAAGTAAGTATACTCAGCCTGAAACATTCAGAAGTAATAGAGCACTGCAGAAACGAGCAAATTAATGGACAGCAATGTGCATTAGGTTCATGGAATTTCATGTCCCTTTAATGTCCTCTAGCTGTCTTAAGACATTGTGGGGAATTAGATCTGCTTTCTTGAGGCCTCTTTCCTTCCTCAGGGCTCCATTAAATGCCTGCTTTTCTATGCTTTCCGAATGACTCTCCCTCTATGTACCCATGTTGTTTATTCTGCAACTTTTTTTTTTTGAGACAGAGTCTCACTCTGTCACCCAGGGTGGAGTGCGGTGGTGCAATCTTGGCTCATTGCAGCCTCCGCCTTTTCAGTTCAAGCAATTTTCCTGCTTCAGCCTCCTGAGTAGCTGGGACGATAGGCACACGCCACTATGCCTGGCTAATTTTTTTTTTTCTTTTTTTGTATTTTTAGTAGAGATGAGGTTGGTCAGGCTGGTCTTAAACTCCTGACCTCAAGTGATTCACCCACCTCGGCCTCCCAAAATGCTGGGATTACAGGCGTAAGCCATTGCGCCCGGCTGATTCTGCAACAATTCACATTTTGAAGGGCTGAACTATTTTCCATCTCTTTGTTACGAAACTCCAATTTTACACAGAATACTGAGTTCTATACAGAAAGTGGCTTTCCTTCCTGTTCCACCTGGATGTTGCCTGGCTCCCTTTAAGTCTGCATAAAGACAAGCAGGTGGCAGGCAAATGCAGCGGAATCGTGTTGCGGGGCGGAATACCACTGGCCCAGGTGAGGAGAGGAGCTGTATCACCTTGGGTCATCCACCTGGTCACTTGCCACGTGACAAGTTCTGTTCAGCTGACATTTAAGGTTCTGTTAGGCTCTGTATTCTACCAACTTTGTGGAATTGCAGGAAAAGTCTGCACTTGTCATTTTATTGACTCCTCTCTGTCTTCCTGGAGTTATTAGTGAAAGCAATTTTTGTAAAACCCCTTGGGAACACCACAGAACATTCTGTGCTTTCTCAGCAGCCGGGGGAAGAGTGCGATGCTCTCTGGTGAGAGGAGGGGGCCCCCAGCAGCTAGAAAGACAAGATGCTTCTCCACTTACAACTCTCGATCCACCCTCTAAACTAAACACCACAGCCTTCATGGTACCCCCAGAAAACAGCCTTTCGGAGCCTTTTCCAGTCTCTTCCGCAGCCTGTTTCTATCCGCCTTCACTGAACTCTGGTTATGACTCTAGTCATTTCCTGGATCTTCAGGAGATGAACTTGTGTCATCTCCCAAAGACACATCTGGTCCAGGCGTGCTCTCTTTAGGCTGTGAGCTCTTAGACGCCTTTAGTAAAACAGGAGGTAAATGACTGTGGGCAAAAGACAAGCTGTGGGCAAACTGACCCCGGGGGCTGGCATGGAGCTGGTGAGTTACTGAGGTGCCTGTGCTCAAGGGAGCCCAGGTTCCAAGTCCCCGAGGGTGCCTGTGAATTCACTATGGGTGGATGCCTTCGCTGCTAGGTCTCTGAGAAAGCCTAGTCATTTCTAGGTCAAGTCATTCATTCTTTCCATGGAAGAGAAGTTTCATGTCACCTTGCAAAGCCCTCTCTCTTCCCTCTGAAATCACAGAATGATTTTAAAATAAAACAAACTCCTCTAAAATCAATAGTTCTGTCTTTGTGTTCTTTTTCCTCCATTTTCTCAGACTGCCTAATTTATTCAAGAGCTACTGGAAGTGGGACACAGAAAAAAATTAATGAGTCCCGAGCACGGAGGCTGTCCCTCCAAGTTAGCGTTTTGTGGATCCTGTACCATTTTGTCCAGGAGGCTGGTAGCTGGTTATGATATTTTAAACCTTTGTTTTTTTTTGTTTGTTTGTTTTTGAGACAGAGTCTAGATCTGTTGCCCAGGCTGGAGTGCAGTGGCACGATCTCAGCTCACTGCAACCTCCACCTCCCAGGTTCAAGCGATTCTCCTGCCTCAGCTTCCCGAGTAGCTGGGACTACAGGCACCTGCCACCACGCCCAGCTAATTTTTGTATTTTTAGCAGACGCAGCATTTCATCATGTTGGCCAGGCTGGTCTCAAACTCCTGACCTCAAATGATCCATCCACCTCGGCCTCCCAAAGTGCTGGGATTACAGGCATGAGCCACCGCACCTAGCCTTAAACCACTTCTTCATGCTCCCCAAAACAAGACTTTTCTCCCAGACTGGCACATTTCAAGTAATAGTCAACATTTTTTTCCTAATAATGTTTACTTAATATGACAGCTATGCCATCTTTCTGATGACAAAGTACCGACATATTTGCTGACATGTTAATCACATCCTCATCAGCACACAAAAATTAAAGGAGAAACATTCTGGAAAACAGAGGGAAGAAAAATGAGTAACAAATCACCAGGTTGCCTTTATGTCTAACCAGAAACTTATTAACATGCTATAAAATGGATCAAATATTTCAGGTTTAAAAGCTTTTTCAGAATAATCAGTTTATGTAAAGTACTGGAAAATTAAGTGAAATTCAATCCAAGTATCCCTGGGAAATGCAGTAAGTTACTCACCTAGCAGAATGGAACTCAGAACAGCCTTTGATTTAAAATTTTAATGCTGTGATTAGTCGAAAGTGTGGTGGAAAGGAAAGCAGGGTAGACAAGAAAATAATTCAGGACTCCAGAATCCTGACACCTCTTCCACCAGGAGGACTGGGGACCACTCCAGTGCAAAGGGGTCCAGAGAATGGTGCAGTTGGACATAATCAGAGGTGGAAGGTACCTGTCAAGCGTCTTTCTCCGATAAAGAATTATCACCTATTTTCTGGTGGACGGCTTTTAGTTTCTCTGATCTTTTAGCTGTGGCATACCAGAAGAGTGATACTGACCCAGCTGACTTAAGAGACCTGCCAGGGGAGGGTGGATTCCAAAGCAAATTCAAAGCCTGGCCACTCTATGCCCAGTTGAGGGCAGAGAGAGCAAGTGCAGAGAAAGAAGCGACGTGGGAAAGAGCTGGGTGGGCATAGATGGCAGAGGGAGGAGGCTCCCATCCTAAGTGGCCCCCATGCTGGTGGGGCACGGAGCCAAGGTATGCCTGTCTCTGAGTTGGACCAAGCGCCACCTCTTCCCCTCCTGGCTGTAGCATGGGTGCGTGGGGTGGTGTGTCTCTACCAGCCCCACCCACCCACAGGCTACCCTCTCAAATGGGGGCTCGTGGCATGAGGCAGAGGGCAGCTGGGCCAAAACCCTTAACTCTGATTTTACACTTAAAAAAAAAAATTGCAATTTCAATGACAAGAATTTCTCTGAATTGAATATACTTAGTCCACCAAAGGAGAGCTCAGAGAAGGTGCTTAAGGCAATTGGTAACAGCAGAAAAGCTCGAGGAGACCAACGCACTAACATGTAATTCTCCAGGGCTTGTACCGATGGAACACAGTTTCAATGCACTTGAACTTGTACCAAGAATTCCCCTTCCGCAACTTCAGTGCCTTTCTCCCACGTAGTGCTGCAACTTCCAATCATACCTAAAATCCACATGTAAAGACGGAAACACAGAAACTCCCACTGAAAAGAGAAAAGACTCCAATTACCTGTTCCATTTCCGTCTAATCCTCGCAAATAAGGAAAACTGTCCACCTCCGAAGGGGAGCTGGCGGCCGTGAGAAACGCGGTCAGGTCACTGTAGCTGGTGTTCTCCGGCAACCTCAGAGCCCTTCTCTGGAAATGAACGCGAGGCTGTGGCCGGGCACCTGCAGAGATTAACCTCTGAGTTACCTCCCCCAGGAGCAGTTTCTGTTTTTAGAAAATGCAAAACCAGGAAGTGCCTCTCCAAGGTTTCAGCACGCCTCCCCCACCCGGCTCCCTCTCACAAGGACTCCCTTCCCCCATTCATGCAGGACGCAGAGATGTGACAACATGCTATTATGGGGAGAGAAATAATAGCCCATTGTCACATTTGTTTTGACACAGGATGTTATTTAGGTTTTTAACAAAAAGCTTTTTCCAAGTTCTATGTGCAAGCAGTCTTGTCACTGCCCGGCATTTGCCTGTGGATCTGGGTAGCATTTTGGGAAAGTCCATGTAAATGAAACAAGTAGATGACAATTAATCTCTTTACACAAACAATGTAAGAGATACTCTTTGATACTGCTGCAAACCCATCTTTAATCTCCCTGGAAAAATCTGGTTTAACGTCATGAACCAAACTGAAGGAGGGCAAGGGAATTCACTGTGCAACCTTGAAAAGAATTGCACACAATACCCCAGCGGCAATTAATCTTCTCTTTCTGTGGGAGCTGCCATTCGTCATCATCCAGTCTATTCTGGAGGCGTGCTTCCTACTTGTGATGGATTATGTCACAGAATTTATGATGAGACTTTTGAAATGATGCAAAATGATGCTTCTTCACCAAACTCAACTCCTTTGTGTAGGAGGACGGGTTGGGCCGACAGACCCTAGACAGTTGTGTTGTGCCATCATCTGCAGCTTAACTTTGCTCCAAATTTTCTTTTTGAGACGGAGTTTTGCTCTTGTTGCCCAGGCTGCAGTGCAGTGGTGTGACTTCAACTCACTGCAACCTCTGCCTCCCGTTCAAGCGATTCCCCTGCCTCAGCCCCCCAAGTAGCTGGGATACAGGCGCCCACCACCACACCCAGCTAATTTTTATATTTTTAGTAGAGGTGGGGTTTCACCATGTTGGCCAGGCTGGTCTCGAACTCCTGACCTCATGTGATCCACCCACCTCAGCTTCCCAAAGTGCTGGGATTACAGGCGTGAGCCACCGTGCCCAGCCCACATGTTGTTTTGATCATAAAACCTGAACTTTTTTTAACCTAATGCTGCGGTAATATTTGCAAGATGTAAAGGTGCTAGGTAATTTTGTGCAAACCTGCCAAAGCATTGTTAACAGAAATGCTGTAGATTCAACCCCAGGCTTGAGGCAGACCACATTCCACCTGTGCTCCACTGGAGGTTCCTTTTCCTGGCCCCCTGCTATCCTGCTTCAACAGCCCTGCCCAGAGCCGGCGGGCTTTATCACCACTCCAGGGTTCCTTTTAACTCTGGATCAAAGAACTTGGAAGGAGTAAATAAGCCTATCTTAGACGTGTTCTAGAATAAGGGAGTTTTAGAGCTCCAAGAATCCACTAGTCCAAGCCTCTCTTAAAGGTGAGGCCACTGAAGCCCAAAGGAATTCCACAGATTTACGTCTGGGGCAGCCTCTCTTGGCTACATACTGCCTAACTGGCAGGGAGTCACAATGCTCCCTCTTCCTTCTAAAAACTACCAGCTAGACTTCTCCAGGGGCTGGTTCTCCACTCTGTGAAATCCAGGCCCAGGTGTAAAGCCCAGCGAGCAGGTGCCCAAAATCATGGGCGTCCTATCTAACTCCTGTCATCTCTGCTGAAACTAAACAGACACAGACATTGGTCCAGCTCCAGACCATCAATTCCCTTTCTTTATCCCTAAAACAAACCCACAGCGACACACCAGCCTCTGGGGATCTGGGTATTTCAACATTATTCTATTCTTCTTAGTCTGGTCTTACTTTCCCTCAATGTTACAGAATACTCATGTCTTACTCCTGCCACCTCCTTGGTCTGCGGAGAGTTCAAACTCCTCAGGCACCCCACAAGTGCTGTGTGTCCTGCCAGGGGCAGTCTGTTTCTGGTCCATTCTCCCCCTTGCCCACACACGGCACACAGCTTGCTTTTCTTCTCCCTTTCCACGCTGCCCTCCGGGATGGAAGGTCAAAGCCGGCATTCTTTCTCAACTCCTCATTCCGGATGTTATAACAACATTCATTGCTTCGGTATTTTTTTCAGTGATCAGGAAATACACGTTCTCTACTGGTTTTCAGGCTAAACAATGCTGCTGATAGCATTCAGTGAACAAGCCCCTATGTAGAGGCCTGGGTCTCCCACGGTGGAAAAGTAAAGCACACTGCTAATAGGAAGAGAAGAAGAAGGGTGAGTCTACATGCAACGGAGCAAAGAGAGGGTCCTGGCAGAGGCAGAAGCTGGGCTGGTGCCCCCAGAACAGGGAAGGAGAAGTGCACCCCTCCAGGCCTTAGGAGGAGCCCCTGTGAGATGGGCTGGCAGAGACCTGTGTGACGGTAATGGGGCACAGAAACCTCCTCCGACTGGACTGAGGGTTGCTGAAAGACAAGGGGAGCCTGGGAATGGGCCCAGGATACATATCCTAGCCAGGACTTACGCGGACTGGCCCGGGACCCAGAGAACCAGAAACCCAGGCTGCTCTCCCCAGCTCTCAGGGCCCTGGTGTCTCATCCTGATCCTCTCCTTTTCGTGCCTTCTCGAGCAAATCAAGTGTTACATGCATTTGGGTGGGAAACACATCTCTCTCCCTTCCCTGCCTCTGCTCCGCCTCTCTCCCCACTTGTGCAGGAGAATTTGGTCCCTGGCCAGACATTCAGGGTCTATCTGCTGGGGCTGGGGGCTGGGGTAGGTAGCAGGCTATGCTGGGGCAGATCCTCACGGAAAGGATACGGCTGCTGCAGCCCGGGACTGGCACGACATGGGTGCCATCCACGAGGGGCCAAACATCCCACCACAAAGCACAGGCAACACCTATGGTGACGAAAATGACGGAAGTAGTACGTGAGGAATTTAAGAGTGCAAGCTATGCTAAGCCACGGCACAAATAAAATCGAAAGAGGGTATGCATGGGGTTGGGGGAGCAGTTACATGCTTAAGCCTGCCTTCATGTACTAAAGCTGCTAAATAGTTCTGTACTTCAGAAAGGAATATGATTGGGTGGGGGTGGCAGGGCAGGCAGTGGATAAGCCTGTAGGGCTCCATCCCCATCCCCAAAATACTCAACTCTGGTTTCCCAAAAATACAGGGGTCCCTGCTTCCTCCCGCTGCATTTCTTTCTTTTTTCTTTTCTTTTTTTTTGAGATGGAGTCTCACTCTGTTGCCCAGGCGGGAGTGCAGTGGCACAATCTCAACTCACTGCAACCTCTGCCTCCTGGGTTCAAACAATTCTCCTGCCTCAGCCTCCTGAGTAGCTGGGATTACAGGTGCTCACCCCCACACCTGGCTAATTTTTGTATTTTTAGTAGAGACAGGGTTTCATCATGTTGACCAGGCTGGTCTCGAACTCCTGACCTCAGGTGATCTGCCCGCCTCAGCCTTCCAAATCTCTGGATTTCAAAATCTGTTTTCCCTCTTCGCTTCTGCCCCTAACCACCTCCAAGGTCAATCCAAGCCTCTAATTTAACTTTTGCTTATTCATTGCAAGACTTGGCTCAACCAACTGTTTTTGCCTTTGTCAGCAATCTCTTTCTCTATAGGCTTTTCCTCCTCAACCAACAAAAATACTCCAGTCTAGAACAACAACAAGCAAACATCACTTTAACTCTGTTATCCCCATAAGCGAATGCCTTCTGTCCTTCCATCAAGCTCCAGTGGTGTGGCTTCTACCCGCAATGCATGCTGCCCTTGGAGACGTCGACTGTATGATCTGCAAACCCCATGACCACAGCTCAGCCTCCATCCTCGTCGACCTCTTCACAATGGCTGACACTGTTTGCCACTCCTGCCCACAATCCCCTTCTTCCTTGGGATTCATGGTGCTGCACTCTGGTTCTCTCCAGTGTCTGCCTGCTGTTTCCTTTCTCATCCTACCTCTGGATGAAACAGCTCCCAGAAGGCTACCACCCATCGCCTCTGCCATTTCTGTGCTTTGCTCACTCCCTGTGGGTTCCCTTTCACTGCTACTGCCTTGGCTGGTACCACCCTCTCTAGCCTTGAATTCTTTTCTAAGCTCCATGCCTGGATTTTCCTCTGCCTTCTAGACACTTCTACCCAGATGCCCATCTGACACTTTAAAATTATCGTCTACTTTCTCTCTCACCTAATAATATTCCAGTCTCCCCATTACCCAGTTTTGAGTCTAGGTCACCAACATCATTCTCCCTATCTATCATCCTGCACATTCACTCAAGTGCCAAGACTGGCCAGTCTTCCCTTACCAACATTTCCTCTCTCTTTTTGCATTCAACAGCATATGTTACCTTACCGCCTCTCACCTCAACTATTGCGAAAGCCTCCTATCCAGGCCATCTGCTTCGGCCTAACTCCCTTTTCATCTACTGACACTGTGACTGTTCAAAGATACTAATCTAATCATGTCCTTTCCCTGCCCAGAAACCAACGGATCTCTCCCACTTACCAAATTAACAATGACAAAAACAACGACAAACATGAATAGACCAATATAGACCCAGACTACAACTACACCTCTTCTCTAAGTGAGAGGCATAGATCAGTGCTTTAGAATTTACAAAGTGCATAAATAAAAATATGTTATTTAATATTTACAACAACCCTGTGAAGAAGGAACCCTCTGCTCTCTTTATGGATAATGAACTACAGCTCAAAGAAGTAAATGACTTGCCCAAAGTCATTCTGCTTCTAAGAGGTAGAAAGGAATTATTTTAATTCTAACTCTGTATCCCTTCCTAGCACACCATACCTACCTCAAAATAGATGCTCTACTGACTGCCAACCAGTTCTCATCCTCTGGCCAAACAGGACTGCATGACTAAGCCTGATTCTTTCTTTCCTTTTTTTTTGTTTGAGACAAGGTCTTGCTCTGTCACCCAGACTGGAGTACAATGATGCCATCACAGTTCACTGGAGACTTGACTTCCTGGGCTCAAGTGATCTTCCTACCTCAGCCTACCGGGTAGCTGGGACTACAGGCACACGCCACCACACCTGGCTA